GATTTTTAAACCTTACTGGTTAATATGGACAGCTCAGTTTTTGGGTGCCCAACTCAAGACACTCTATAAAGGAGCTGTGTGCCCCTTCTCTGAAAATCAGGCTTTACAAGGTGTTTCAAATTGACCATCCAAGAATTGAGGCACCCAAAATCACTCATCACTTTGGAAGATTTTGACCAAGACTCCTAAATCCTATTCCCAGCTTTGCAACTGTATTAAGGTGTAGCTTTGAGAAAGTCATAACCTATGTGCCTCACTTCACCCCATTGTAAAATAACCCAGAGTATTATTACAGTATATATTATTGTTATTTATTGAGAGCAGAATATGTACTCAGCCCTGTACAAACATAGAAGATGACATAGGAATCAAACCTACAAGGACCTGTAGGTGGAATCCACAAAGCTTCTTAGGCACCTAAACCCAGATTTAAGCCCCAGGATCCCATTTTTAGGTGCCCAAGTCCCCCCCATGAAATGCACAAAACTGCTGAACCCCGTAGGTACCTAAACTCACTCAGTGCTTACAAGGGGTTTGGTGAAAGAGTGAGTGGAGCAGGAGAACTTGACCAAGGGTATCTTGCTCTATCCCTGGTGCTCTATCCCTGGACGAGAGTCATTCCTACTCTTTCATTATTTATCCAGAGTGGAACAGCTTCAACAGGAGAGACTGAGAAAGCCCCACGTCCGACTATCCCATAGCTGAGTGATTGGAGTTCCCTTGTGGGAGAAGTGGAAGACCCCCTGTTCAAATTCTTTCTCCCTCTCTGGCAAAGAGGGGGCAACTGAACCTCGGTCTACCACGTCCAGGGTGAGCACTCTGGTCTCAAAGTTATAAAGTGGGAACCACCACCTCTTCCCCAAGCTGTTTTGTGTGGAGTGAGGCAGGCACTTAACTCACTCACGCAAGAAATTACATAGGCACCTAAGCCAGGAGCGGGGTTCCTGGTCATGGATCACTAGCAGAGCTAAGTGCCTATCTCTGAGAAAGGGGTTGGGGCCACTGTACCCTCTAAGCTGTGCATGTGTGTGCATGCACACAGATCTTAAACCCCGCGCACATGGCGAAACACCGCGTGCACAAAAATTTGCACAGAAGCACAACAATTTGCACAGAAGAAAATTTTTGCGCACACAGCCTGTCAAAAATTTGCACAGAAGAAATTTTTTGCACACACGGCCTGTCAAAAATTAGAGGGAACGTTGGCTGGGGCTTAGTACTTTGGCATCTCCCATTGGCTACATTAGGCAGGGAGCTGCCTAGCATGCTGGCTTTGTGGATCCCAGTCTAAGGCACCTATCTCTTCCCATTCATTGTTTAGGGAGCCTAGGCACCTAACTTGGCTTTTTGGATAGAAGAGGTGTTCCTGAAATTTTTCTAGGCTCCTAAAAGTTAGCCATTGTGATGCTCAGCATTGCAACTCCTAAATCCCTTCATCGATTCCACCCTGTGTGTCTTCTGGGAGGTGCTAAGTGCCTCCAACTCCCATGAAAACAATTGAGGTACTTAGCATTTTGGAGGAGATGCTGAACACCATGTAGAATAAGACCCTGTCCCAAAAGATCTTACAGTCTCTAGGACCCTAAGCTGGCAAACTGCTCTGTTCAGGTGAACCATTGTACTTATGCAAAGCCTCATTGAATTAATTGGCCGAGGGATTCTTACTCATATGAGCAAGCATTACTCATCTGAGTAGTCCCTTTGTCTTCACTGGGACTTCTTGTAAGGGTTACTATCATGATACGCAGGATGCAGAATTAGACACTCTACCAACATCAGTGGGAGTTCTATCCATGATGGCTTGCTAGATCCAGCCCTACAGACAATATAGAATAGACGTATAAGACAATCTAAAGTTCAAATGGTTCAATTTTCAAAAAACATATGTATAGTTGATGGGTAAATGTTATTATATTATTCTCCATATTGTGGTTTGTTCTATTTAAAAAATTTCTAGTTCCTTCTTGACTCTTGATTAGTTAGCACTGGTTTTACTATTTCATTTTTTACAGCTAAAAGATCTTATAGGCACATTTTAGAATGAAGCTAGCAAAAGTGGTGTTTTTTACTTATCCTTCTAAATGTAGGTGAAAAAACCCCCTAATTTAAAATAATGGATATAAAAATATATAATTCAGCTACTTGTTTCAACATGATGTTGATTGTACTGGTAAATTTAGCTGAATTAGTTGTAAAATATTGTTAATGATATGCATATGAGTAACTCAGGTCGAATATAGAGGAGAATACAACGGGTCTGGGATTATTTAGTTCTTTTTGAAGAGGTCAAGTGAGGACGTCAGTTCAAGGACACATTGCGCCATCTGCTGGTAATATCTATAGTTTCCAGAGAGGATATTTCAAACTGGCTTTAAGTACAGTTCATTAAAAATACCAGCCCGTAAGGGTTTGATTTTTATTATTATTGACATAATCAGCTGCAATTATCATTACTAAAACAGGATAATTTAGTACTTTATATGTGACAAAAATATTATTCGTGTAGACTTAGAAGGTACTCAGCAAACATAATAAAGCACTGTGACCCAGAAGCTCACTGTAAATCAAGTGTCTAATTTCTGGTTGCCATATTTCTGTGCTGTGAGCAAGCATTTTCTATTATATATGCTATAGAAAGGATCTAAAGTTTTTAAAGTAATGTTTTCAACCAATTAGTAGGTGATGTAAACAGTATTTAAATAAACTTAAATCCTATGTTCTTTCTACTACCCATCACCATTTGTGATACTCGTTCAATTAATGCATGTTTAGCATATTTCCTTGCTTTGTTTGCTAAAAGGGCTTTTATAGTCTGTAAATTATAGTTCTCCAGAAATATTAGGTTGTTTGAATAGCCAGGATGGAAGCTTGGGCTTTGAAAATTCCATCTTTTTAATATATTCTTATGGTGTATTTAACATATGGTGTATTTAACATATTGTTTATTTTCATTATAGATCTTCTAGAGGGTGAGGCCTAATACAGCCCATCAATGGAAAAGGTGAACATCTTTTTTTTCGAATATATTGTAATTTGAAAAATGTAAAGAGACACTCAGGCTCAAAAATCGTATTTAAAACCAACATGTTTGATACCTATATTACAAATAATACTGCAGGGCCTGATCCAGCAAACAGCTATCCACCTAAATACCTTTATTCAGGTAAGTAGCCCCAGACTTCAAAAGGGCTATTGGCCTGAATAAAGTTAATCAAGTGTGTAGTTTTTGAAGGACAGGACCCCAGGTTGTTAAAACTGAAATGATTAAACTTAAACTTTTGCTTTTTGCTGCTTATTTACTTTTTACCTTTCTTTCAATTTAGGCAAAGAAAAGAGACTAGTGAGTTTCCATTTTGTTCATAGTCATTTTCTAGTCAATTTCATTTCCACGTTTTTATACACTATGCTTTCAGACACTAAGTTTAGGTGGAAAATATCATAGGTTCTGATTTTTTTTTAAAAAGTGAAAAAGAACCCACGGAAACATTTCTAGCTAATTCTAAAAAACTTTGTAACGTCTGAATTTTGCCCCAAATTTTACTGGAGAGTATCTTTCAAAATACTTACTTGTGATTTCCCTGTTAAGAAACAGAGCGCTGTTGGGCTGATAAAATTTGACGTTGGAGTAAAATTTCTTGTTTACTGGAGTAAAAGTTACAAGACTCTAAGGATGGGCAGGTTTGACAAAAAGCATATAACCTGAATGAGATCAACGAGTCTCCCTGACTTTAAGGGTGGAAAGGGGCTTTAGAGATTACGGAAGCTTTGCTGTTATTTTGCCAACTCTAGAAAACTGTTTTCTCCTTTCTTCACTCCCACCAAAATAGGGATAAACCGTTCTACTTTTACTCCACTCAATCGCTTATTGTGCTTCCTGACTGCTACAGTGTGGTAATGGTTATCTGATCTCTTTCTTGAAATGAAATAATGCCATCCCCCCATGCCGGTTCTCCTGACATCGATCAGATAATAACTAGAACTGAACATTTGTGTCAGCAGAGCTTGGGGAGCAACTAGTTGTTTGTCACTCAGGAATTTAACCAGATTAGTACTCTTATATGGATTATATTCGCTGTTACTAAAGCGCATAAAGGTCGTAATCCAATTTATACACATTGCAGTACGTATTAACGTTATTTGCTATTTTAAGTCTGCTAGTTGCATCATGTGTTTGTAAGCGGGTTAATACTAGTTCTTCTGATGCAATCCAACAGACTCCAAAATGCAAACACGTTTTCAGCCCCGATACCTCTTAGAAACTGACAACTTCTAGTAAATTTCTACCATAAAGGCACTTAGGATACACTTTTAAGTAACTGCTGCAGACAGATCCTCACTCAGTCCTAAGGATCACTCTTTTTGAAAGACTCCTTACAGTTAGCTGCGTGTTTCATTAAGATACTTAACAAAAATCACTCATCATTTTTAACCCGCCTTCATTCATTTCGTCTCCACACAAGCTTTGTACATGCGATTTCAAGTTATTTTATGCCGTCTTTTGTGTTCATTTGAAAAATACTTTGCAAAAGTTAAGGTTTTGGTTTTCTTAATTTCCTCTTTCTTCTCTCTCCTTGTAAAAAGGATCCCTCTAAAATTCCCAGACAAACTCAAGCAGCTCCCCTCCGTCGTGCAGTCCCCCTCCTCATGCCCTGCTTTACTGCTGGGGGCTAAGGCTCTAGACATTGGTTACATTCCAGTAGTTTTAATCCGGTTTTTATTGTCAGACCTGAGTCGTTTACTCGGGGTTGGATGGTGGGTTCCCCCCTCCTCTTTCCCCTCAGTAACCTGTTACTTTAAGTAATGCATTTGGGTTGTGATGGCAATGATCTGACTGTGAGGGCGGGCGGCCGGCCGGAGGGGTTAGTGATTTAGTTACTCTGTTTGATTGGCTCTTTCTACCTCTCTCTCTAGGCTCTCCCTCTTTTCCTCCCTCCCTCCTTTGCACAGTGTTATGTCTGTCTCAGTGTCAGGCTTGAGGTGCAGGGCGCATGCTCTAGTATCTCAGCCCCAGCCGCTGGAGCTGCTGCTGGGGGCTCAGTTTAATAAGAGAGAGAGAGAGACAGGGACAGGGTGGGAAAAGACAGAAACAGAATGTCCGCCATCTACCCTCCTCTCCTGTACGCACTCTCCATCACAGCGGCTTCTTCATGAATTAGCGCTAAGGGGGTGGGGTGGGGGACAAAAGTACATACCCCAGCAAACCCCAGGGCCCCCAGGCATGGCCAGTTCGGTAAGTACATACAATCCCCCGCTCTCCCCTCCCTTTCTTCTCCTCCTCCTTCTCCTCCTCCTCCACCCTGCGCTGCCCAGACACCGTTTAGTGCTTCCAATTAGAGAAAGGTTGGTGTGTTGGGGATTTTTTTTTAAGTGTGTGGCTTTTTCCTCTCGCCCGCTCTCCCTCCCACCCTCCTCTCTTTGCAATTGCATGAAGCACACACACATCTAGAGAGAGAGGGAGAGAGGCGGTGGAGGCGAATAATAACCCAGCCATATTTCTGCAGCCGCAGCAGCCGGGGAGCAGTGAGTACAGTACAGGGGACTCAGCGCAGGAGGCGCCGCTTAGGATGGTGCGTTCTCTCCGGCGTGGCTCTGACAGCCAGCGGCACCCCAGTAACTTTACCTTTATGCATGCATGTGTGTCTGCAGAACCAGCTGTTAGCGTGTGTCCCCCGCTCCCCTCGACCCCCTGGACTGTAGCACTGGCAGCCGCTGGCATTTTTGTTTATGCATGGAGGAGGAGGAGTATTTTTGTTTTACTCCCCCCCCCCGCCGTTCCCCTTGCACATCTTGCCTTATTTTTTTTTTAATTTGATGCCCATGCGATCTGGATTTAAATGCCTTGGAGTTTCGTCCCTTGCTACGGATATGCAATTTCAGGAGCAATCCACCTCCAAATGAGACTTTCTATTATAAAGCATTATGGGGTGCCCCCCCCGTTTTCTTTGCCTTGGAAATACTGCCCCTGCTCGTGTTCATGTGTGTCCATTGTATTTGTGTTGGGGCTCTGTCTTTCTTTGAGGCTGCATTCCGTTACAACCCGAGCCGATCGCTTCTTCGTCTTTCCTGTGGTGTGAATGCACGTTTAAGTGTCTGGGGTGGCTTCCCTCCCCCATCCCCTTGTGCTATGGCTATTTTCTTTGTGTATTTTGTTATTCGTGCTGCCCTAAAGCTGAGTGTGATCCTTCGCCTTCCTGCTCATTGTTGCCTCTCTCTCTCTCTCTCTCTCTCGCCAGTGTGCCGTTCAGGTGAAACTGGAGCTGGGGCACCGAGCCCAGGTTAGGAAGAAACCCACCGTGGAGGGGTTTACCCACGACTGGATGGTGTTTGTTAGAGGACCCGAGCACAGTAACATTCAGCACTTTGTGGAGAAAGTCGTCTTTCACTTGCATGAAAGCTTCCCTAGGCCAAAAAGAGGTAGGGCTCGAATACAAAAGTGGCTTGATAAATATGGATTTAATGTGTTTGCGTAAGGGGAGAGAGAAACACTCGCCTTGCAAGTCTTGCTTTACATGTATTCTCTGAGCGCTGGCAGGCGGCGACCGCTGCTGCAAAGAATTACAAGCCGGCCTCCTGGCGTCTCAGAAATCGTTGCATGCAAAGGACCATCAGGTGTACTGTATTTTTCTTTCCCGAAACGAGAACTCCCTAATCCCTCTGGCTGAGCTGGGAGTTAAGCAGCTGATGCATTTGTTGCGTGTTCAGGTGGGGAAACAAAAGCAGCATTTGTGCTGTCTCTCACAGTCAAGGGATTGGCATCTGGGCACTGTTTTATCCATGTGATTTATTTCTGCCTTTCCCCCTTGTCTTGCAATGACTCTGAGTTGCTGCCGCAATCATCTTTAATCTCTGCCGCCTGTGACTTTGCACTGGGCAAAGCTTGCATGAGGTCTTGTGTTCGACAGCATCCTCATGCCTTGTTTTACTTTTGAATGGTGTCAGAATCTCTCATACCCTACCTTGTGAATCGATAGTGTAGAGTGGTATATTTTGTGCTACATGTTGCATTCTGTTTCTAGATCTACATTTCTCTTTAGTGTAGTAAGTACATGGGCTGGAGGAAAGTATCTGTATGCCTTGCTGGTGAATGTTGATATTGATATGACTTCTTAGTATGGACTTCTGTTTTTACTGGTTATGCCACCTATTGGGGTTTTGTTTTGTTATTGAGTTTGCATAATCATTAGCACCCATCTTTCTTATTTTTAAGTACTATAGGACCTTTTTTAAAAGGGGGTGGTACTACTTAATTTTTGTTAATGGAGATTTAAAAATCTTTTTTCTTCAATTTTGATTCTTTTGCTCTCAAAGCGGCTGTCTGATTGTTTTAGTTGGATTAGTGGTGGTAACAGTACAAATGTAATAAGGTGCTTTGTTTGTGTGCAGGTTTATTTATCTAAGTAGACACAATGGTTAGTAGTTATCTCCCATTTGATCTGTAATCTTTATTGGCATCTAGAACTCCTGCAGTTCCTTAGAACAACATCATAATAAATCCATTCTGCTTAGAGCTATGTGGGAATTATTGAACATACAGAGAGTGAATAAAGAGAGGAAGCAATCAGTGTCGAGTTTAGAGGTAGCAAAGCTCTTGTTTTAACATGTATACTTGTGTTAATGCTTTTCACTTATCAAACATTAAGTTATCAATTTCTTCTTTACACTGAGTTTGGAGGATTGGGAGTCGGTAGGAAATAGTATTTAGATTGCTATGATTCTCTTCCCAGGTGGAAACTAACAGTTCCCTTTCATCCATCATTCAATCTAATTTATATTCACATCCCTAAAACAGTCATGCAGTGCACTCTGTCAGGTCCTAACTACAGTATTGTACAAGACTGTGCATAATACAATTTTCAGTGATTTTCATACATCTGTGCTATACTGTCAGCAAAATAATTCCCTATAAGAAAACGTGGATTTCTCACAGTTTCCCATCTTCTTTTTGCATTTATTACTGACTGATATGCACAAAAAGGCAATTTATTTAAAGAAATATTAATTTGCATGAGAAACTTGGTGAAGGAGTGAGAGCTGTCTAGGGAGTCTAAACAGTTTAGGTAACTTTTTCTGCATACTATGAACAGATTGTTAACCTGAAATCAATGGTAGAAAGTGCTTTTCATATCTTAGAGCTATATCTACACCATAGTGGTGTTCTGTGAAACACTCTGCCTTTATTCCCCAAGCTAATGACTTTCTGTCCAGCTTGAGGGAACATGACTCTGTAGCCCAGACCTGGGGATTGTTGTTAGGTGTGGTATGGAGCTAGTTTAACTGTAATATATTTTTAGGACTTTGCAAGTGAAAGATGGATGGTTGTTTTGTTGAGTATGCTGGGCTGCAGAGTTACGTTATACAGCTATTTAAACCATTGTTTTAAAGTGTTTATTTTGGAATTTTATTTGTATGTGTTTTTATGATGTGACAAGTGCTGGGAAAAGCGCCAGCTTACATAGCCCGGGAGAGGACTTGTCATATTGTAATTACACATGACTCAGATTGTAAGAGACCATTCTGTTTATTGGGAACAGTTAGTTGTAATTTCAGTCTATGCTGAACATCTCTCACTTCTGGGATTCGTTTTGACACCTCAAAAATCTCCTAGTCATTTCAGACCTTATAAGTCAGAGTGGGAAGATTAGCGTCAGGCTATTAAGGATACTTTAAGTTTGTACCCAACATTTACTCTGTTAAAAACCTTAGAAAAGAGTTTGTTCTTATGTGTCCCTTGTGATTTAGTGGATGGAAAAGTGTTATGTTATTTTTTGTAATCTATAGTGATGGCTAATTCTTCTGCAAAAAGTTGTTCTGACTTTTTGATCATCTACATTAATAGTTTTATTTAACCACAGATGGTCTTCACCATGATAACCAAAATATTTTATCATAATGCTTTTGCTTCCAATCAGATGTCAGGCACTTTCTCTATCACGGTCTTTAAAGTTGCAATCTTTTATTGATTATTTTGTGTAAAAACTAGGCTTGGCAGAATTTTTTTCTTTGAATAATTTTAATGGATATAACTGATTGTTTATTTAAAAATTCTTTATGGATTTAAATTTTCACAGTGGTGCAGAATTTTGGAGGAATCAGACAATATTTAATAACACTAGATGCTGAGATTCAAAAAGTTAAGGCTTTATGACCATTAAAACACATTGTCAACATTGCATTTCAAAATATCAACATAAATATCCTTAAATCAAACTACATTCTGAAGCAAAAAATGATGGAAAAATATTTCATCGATCTGTGTGTGTAATGAAATGATGTTTTTATTGATACTTATGGATAAAACACCTAATTGTGCCAAGCCTAAAGATAATTTATCAAACAGAAACATGTGATAGCTTGTCAGACAAACAAAATTCTGGGATTAGGAGGAGGGAAGTAGATGTACAGCACAAATCAAAGCAACATGTCATTACTTTGGCTTGTTATAACATTATTCCTTAGTTTTTGATAGATTATATTAGTATATTTGGTTCCATGGAATCATGCTGAAAATGGCTGCTTTAACAGGAATGATCGTAGCTAGTAGCAAAAGTTAAATTTGTTAAGACTATTTGCAGAGCTGTCATATCATTTTGAAAATAATAATTGGACATGCTATGATAGATTTCATTTAGTTTGTAATGTGTTGCTACTACTTGGTCACTTTTACTTATTGCAGTTTAAAGTGGAGCATTAAAAAGGAATATCTTTGTAAAGAAAACTTTTCTGAAACTAGAAGGCACTCTACTGAAAATGGCATGTTTACATGAACAACTTATAATAGGTAAACTATCAAAGCTCTGTGTACAGCTCTATTATTACACATTGCCTTTTGACAGTTCGACTTCATTGGTGATATTATAACTAGTAAGGGTTGGGCAACTTACAAAAATGAAGGTGTGTTGAGGTCGTAGGTACTTAACCTACATTCTTTTAATGGGAGCCGAATGTACAGATAGAGGGATGTGTGTACCCCAAAGTTCCACTGGTTTAATTAATGTGAAGGTCTAGCTATGAGCATAGTGTAGTTCTTGGATGGTTTGTTTTAAAACATTCAATGAGGTCACTCCAGTGTGCCTTATAAACCTTCTTTCTTTTATTCAGTTTCCCCCCTTTTAGCACAGACCTCCTTGCTGTCCTTTCATGCACTCACTGCTGTTGGGGTGAGATTGGCTTTTCTGCAGTTGCTGCCATCTACAACATCTACCCCTCTCCACCTCAAAAGGCGCACCCTCACCATTTTAAATGAAATCTCCCCTTAAAGCCTAACTTCGCAGTAACTTTTATTCCTGTTGTTGGCCTTATGATTGAATAATTTATTTATTGTACGATGTATTATGCTGTCGCTTTCAATGACTTTCTCTCTATACTTCTTTCTGTTTAAATGGCCTGATGCTACCCCTTTACTCACATGAATAATCCCATTGAAAACAATGGAACTACTTGTGTCATTAAGGAGGGTAGACTCAAGTCCAGACTTTGTGTTTTGGGATACAGTTTGCACGAAAGAGGCTTTTAAAATAGTGGCATTATTACTTCAATGTAATAATGCAAATAAATACAGTTATTAGTTCTTGGATAATTTATAGTTCAAGACACCAAAAGCCTGACTCTTAAAAGAATTTGGAGCTACCATGTAATGTGCAGAACTTATTGATTAATTACAAAACAGACAACACTTCTTTCTTCAGATAAATGAGAAGATGCTAGTTAATGTGGAGGCACAATATTTAAAAGAATGTCAATGGAATTGAATCTTGTCACAGGCTCAGTTTCCTGTTGCTGTATAAACACCAAGATTATCTACAAAGGACAAGCTGTTGATCCTCTGATCATATTAGGTAGCTTTATTTCTATTACACCAAATGATTTATGAAATGTTTCATTTTTTTTCCTGTTGCATGTTGATTCACTAGCATAACCGTTGGTAATTTTTTTACTGTTGGCTTGCTGTACTTCTCTTGGGTAAGAGAAAAGATATATTGAGTGCTTCAGCTGAGTTTTATTCAAGTACAGTTTACAAAAATGTTTTTGTAGTAGCATGAATCTAATGGTCCCGTATGTTGGTGACAATTGGGTGGCACAATGCCATTGTAACAGAAAATCCGATATTTTTCTGGCAATGAGCTTTTATCTTACAGCTAGGATATTTTATTAACTAGTGGTGTGTTTTTGTTTTTGCCAGAGAAACTATACCAGCTGATTTTTTTTTCTTTCTTCCTTTGGGTAGAGGGAGAGAGATTGTGTGGGTATGAGGCTTCTTGCACACTGGAATATTTCATGTTGTAAAAGATAGCTAGCTGTTCACTTTGCTATGTATGGAAAGAATAAAGCAACATTACTTAAAATATATAAAAGTATTATAGGAACATGTTTGAAAGAGGTGGTGATCTACCTGTAGGGCAGATCTGCTTAAAAGT